GTCAGTTCATAAATAAGAGACGACACAAATGGAGATTCTCCCATACTATATCGTTTTAGTACAGCAAGGTGACTTCTCGCTTGATCAACGAAGGTCTGGAAACTAATTGCTAAACTGTCCGGGTCTCCAGGATCGACAGCAGGTAGCGATTTCAATACTTGTAGATGAGCTGCTTGTAGCGTAGTTGGATGACCATATCTATCCCGTAATAGCATTAGGGCTTCGGCATATCCTTCGTCATCTGGGAATAGACCTGCAATCACTTGGTCACATTCTTTAGAAAGCTTTGTGTGAAGGAATCCCATCTTGGCTTCCGAGGTCATCTTCGTATTGTGTACAAGCGCTTTGAAGAGACCACTCCAGGACAACCCCTTCAATGGATCGCCATTATAAATAGGCACATCTGCTCTTACGGGGATTTTTCCAGGGTCCACTGATCGAACATTAACTTTCAGTGTCTTTCGAAATCCAACGATCCAATCTTCTTCACTGGCATTTTCAGATTGGGCTCCCTGTGTCTGGACTTGTTCGAGGTGTTGTACATAAAGTGCAGCCTTTTCTTTACCGCATATCTCTGGCTGTGTTGGCAGGTTTGCAGGCAGTTTTTGTCCGGACTGGTTACACCCACCTCCAATGGCTTCTGACTGTCTTTCAGCTTCCTCTGCTTCTAATTCGAGTCGAGCAGCTTCGGTTCTTTTCTGCTGGGCTAATTCTGATAGGTAGGCTGCTTCATCTTTTCTCTTCTGTTCAGCTTCAAGTTCTTCCAGTTTCTGCTTGTCAGTTTCATCTTGATCATCACCTTCCACTTGGGGCTCGGGGGGTGGACTAATGTGCTGTGAACTAGTCTCTGAACCGATGTATGTCGAGGTCTCACCGGTTCGGTCTTGTAGATGTTCCTGTACCATGCCAGTTATGCAATTTACGTCGACTGTTAAGTCAGTGAGGATATACATGTCCGCGAGTATTTCTTCATCCCCTTCAAGATACTTTTCGAGCTGGTCATTGTAGGCTACAACTTCTTTAAATTTAGTTTGGATGTCATGTAGATTTCTCTTTATAGCAGTCCGACTACGTTTTTCTTCCATCATTTTGTTGGTCGCATTAATATATCTGGTGATCATCCCTATTGCAACACGTCTCTTGAAGCGAATGCCTTTGATTGCTTTGGAGAGGGGGGTTGATGGGTCTTCTCTAACATGTCTTGAACTGTCTACCTTCTCAATGTTCTGATCGGCTTGAGGGATTTGGCTTGTTTCTGGGACTTCCTCATGATCTATGTCATCCTTTTGAGATCTTTTATCCTTTCGTGATCTTGTATTTTCGGCTACAGACATTATTTTATTCCAAAATTATGTCCCACAGTTTCTCAGTTCTGTCTAGTTTTGCTCTGATCCGGCTCGAAGGACCAAAATGTTCACGCCTATGGGCCTCGTTTCAATGTTTGTTGACGACCAACCCACGCACCTTCAATACTTGTATTTGGGGACTGTATATTAAATGTTACATGAAGTACACACCACTCACAATAACGAACGGTTTTATTTTTCACGCTAAAAAGACAAATATTCATAAACTTACAAAGCGAAATAATACAGAAATACTAAAACATACCTATTAACCTTACACAATACATAAATGAATAAACTGAGACTGTCTAAGTTAAAATATTACGACCGTCACATATACGGAAATAAATCAGTCAAATTATGCTCATTTTTACCGTTCAAAAACAGTCAAATCTTCTTGATTCAAGCCAGCCAACAGAACAATACAAAATCGACAATAATAACAAGTTTTCGCGATCCAAAAGCGTCCAAAACAGCGTCCAAAACGACCAATTTCCTTTTAAACAACTCAGTTCTCTCAAAACGTCACGACAACGTTTGTTCTTGAGCCCGCAGTATAATAAACGCATACTTCATATAAAGTTTCTCAACGCCCGTCAGTGATATTAATTTTCTGCAGTCTGATTCATGCTGTCTGCACATCTGCTTTCTTTGGAGACACCACTTGCTTCCTCACAAATGGAAATCTGATCAAGACATTAGGGAGTTTAAGCTTCACACGTTTCCAGGCAACGGCAAACGGCAGGTTCAAACTTTTTTGGCAAACTTTTCGTTGAACGATTTCATTTCATATTTTCTTTCTTGTGTTGAAAGCATAATTATGCATTGCAGTCTAAAAGCACCAAGTTCATTTATATACTCTTTATTGCCTGATACCGTAAAATTTGCCTGGGTTTTGCCGTTTGATGTATAAACGCGAAGCTTAAACTCTCTTGTGACTCTGATTGCAGGGCCCTATAGGAAGCTCTTTTCGATTGGGGGGGGGGCTGAAAGCGAGGGCCGAAGGCCCGAGGAAATTTTTAAGTTTAGAGTCTCTGAAATGCCATTTCCTGGACTTTGGGGAAGATTTGACAGAATTCTTATGGTCAGAAAACAGCGTTTTCGTATGTCGAAAATTACAATTTAGTAGTACTAAATGGGCAAAGGCGTGTTTATTTAACTATATATTGGATAAGTTGCAGGAAATTATGGGTAATATCTTCATTCTTTGCAGTTTGTCATGGATTAAATGACAAATGTCTGCATGATGTTGAAAAAAGAATGATTATTAGCAAATTATCGGGGGGGGGGGAAGCCCCCCCCCCCGGTTGCTACGCCCTTGGATTGATTTAATAACTATTGTATTGATGTATATGAATGTTGACATCGCTTTTTTGTCTTCAAAATATAAATGTATTTTCTTCACTAGCTCACAAAACACTACAGCAGAGGCAAATTTACGCGTAGTAAAGACAATAACTTTTTATTACCCAACCCATGAGTTGTTTTATTTTTCATTTACCCAACCTTTTACTCACTCCACCTTTTCACTTCGGTGCCACCCCCCCCCCCTCATAAATAATGCATAATCGGTCCCTTACACTAGGGGCGCGGGATAAGCCGTCTCGAGGGGCATGTTGAACAGGGGAGAGACTTTCTACTTCGTCCGATATGACAGATAATTTATCAGTCTAAAAATAGGGGCCAATAGACGAATTATCCCTCTATATATACTATCCGTCTAGATGAATCAAGACGCACTAAAGTGGATGATTCGTCCGCCGAAATAATTCGCCTGCATTTGTACTAACCAGCTTATAGGTCACTATGAAAATACCGAATCCCACTTATTAATCTCTTCAATTTTCCCAATCACGTTCGTAAATCTTTCTAAATCCCGTGCACGTGTCCAGCGACTTTCGGAAATCCTGAATTCCGTTCATTATTTCCTCTTGTATCTGGTTTCTCATTACTAAAACAAACATTATCCCGCGTCCCGCAAAACCTAATGGGTACCTGCCCTCTACTGACCCAGCGTAAATGCTTTTATTGCAAAGAATGGATGTCAAGCGCTGATATGGCTTCATCCCAGCAATTTTCAAATCCCTATCAAGACGGCATTTAGCCTGAGAAAGTTTCCCAATTGGGAAAAAGGCAATTAATTACAGGTCAACATTACAACAAATGTAACGAAATAAGTCAAATAATATAGTCGGTAACGCGTTTCAAAATACGATATTTAAAATATTTTCTTGAGGTGAAAGATGAGCCGAAGAGTTGGTTTGCACTGGGGATTTGGATACGATTATAGAATTTTGGCGGATGGAATTGAATGAAGAGCAAACTGTGCAATGGAACAAAACGTATATCAAAATGCATGGCCAAGCCTGCATGGAACGTGTTCTATTACATGCTAGGCAAAAGGGTAATTTTGTTCCAGATTACGTGATCATGACCAGCCAATAAAGTGACCAGAATTTAATGAGATGTTTATAATAGTTTGCCAATGCGCTCTCAAAGCCATGAGATGTTTCAATTCTTTTGTTGTAGATGATCACAATCCATGCAACTTGGACAGTACTGCTGCTTATCTCTTCAGCTTTGCTTGCAAAAAGTGCTAGCGCATTTGATAAAAAAATTGGCACGACATCCTTTTGTGATCTATTTGACGAAGGAGACACTGAATGTAGTCATCTAATAACAGGCATGGTTAGTATTCCCACATGATTTTAATATTAAAAGTATAATTTGGGACAATCCAAATGAAACAATGTTACTATCCAAGTCATGGTGGAGGCTTCATACCACTATATAATAGCTCCAGTCCGAGAAGCAAAGATGGTCAGCTTTATCTGATTTACACTGATTAAAGCTTTTAGCGGTTGAATAATTTAAGCTCAAAGCTTATCAATCCCAGGCTAATAATTTATGTTTAACAAGGGATAGATATGCTCCCCCTCCATGCGATAAAATTTAACTTACTAATTTAAATGTTATTAAAACTTATTAAGTCAAATGTATGGTTCTGTATGGGGCGGTTATAAGCATGTACCTAACTGATATGACTACTTGAATGCATTGAATTATTTTATTCTATTTCATTCCAATCCTTTTCTGTTCCTTTGCATTCTATTCTATCCCATTCTACTCTATTCCATTCTATTATATTTTATGACAAGAATGATTCTGCTGAAAAATAGAAAGCCGACAGTTAATTAATGTAATTCATTACTTTTAATTTTCTGTACAGATATTTGGATTTGTTGCAATGGTTATGTTCCTTTTGGATTCTGGTATATATATATTCACTTACATAAATAATCAGGGATCTCCGTCTCAACACTTGGCAGGCGGCAAGTCGCCAGATGCTCCCCCGACTGTAGAAGCAAAGTCCAATCCCGTTACTGTCCATGCATAAAAAGTTATCGTTATCTCGAAAATTCTAGAAGCACTTAGAACTTTGTTATAAGATAGCGTGTCTTTTTGTTGAGCGGATGAACTGCATCTCAGCATCTGTAGCGCGATAAATGTAATCTTCAATGTACTCTACTTTATTTGTACTAAATCTTACTTACTTTGTCATTTTAATTATTTGCGATTCAAAATATAACAAGCAATGTATTGTGTCATTCATACAGATACACATTGTCGAAATATTTAAATTTGTCTGTCCCCACCGAAGCGTGAAAAACAATTGAATTTTTCATAGACCAAAAAGCAATACATTTATAAAACTGTTTGATTAGAAAGATTGGCACTTAATTTATGAAAGCGTTATTGGAAAACATACGGTGTCCTCTATGGTTACATTTTCGATTTTGTTCTCCCGCAGGCAACGCAACGGGTCAAATTTCCGAGAGAAGTGGTGCGAGAGGTCACGGGTTTGATTCGCGTGCGAGCCCATATTAATATCAATAATTTTCTGTTTCAAACATGTAATTGACATTTTTGACAATGCTTACTTTTCGTAGCAGTTTGGATTACTCTTCAAACACCAAATCTCACCACCAGAGGGTGCAAATTTTAATTTTGTTCTCTTAATCCAGCGCCAAGAACCTCGGCTCAGAGTTTGATAAGGCTCTTCTTACATTGTCAGTGCTCAGTCTACTAATCTTGTATAGCGAGCTTGTGCGATAGCTTGTCTGCAGTTGTGTTCAGAGACGGACCATCCTTCATGGCGACCTATACCTATATACGCGCGTTTGTGTAGCAAGTTGAACTTCATGCATATAGAAAATGACCACAGGCTTGCTTCGTTTATGTCAGTGACTGTGATTGATATAGGCTACTACATTTTTTTCACGTTTGTGTCAAAATATTCAGTATTCAACAAGCAAGGCTAACGAATAGAGAATAAATGAAATTTCCGTCTACAAATCTCTTTAACAGTTTAACTATATATTCGTTATATATCGAGTGCGATGCCCCAAATCCTGATATACCAATACACCGCACATTGGCATCATCTTCTATATTGGCATCATCTTATAATTCTAATTGAACGTGGAATGGTTCATATAGGTGGATATTTTGAGCTAACATTGTATATATATATATTCTTAGACATGAGTGGGAGCAGATCATATGGAGCAGATGCAAAGTTTGCAGGGCCACAGGTTCGATTGCGGCCGGAGGGCTTGAGTGCTTGCATTTTTGCAGCTGCGCCCAGTCAGGTCTACTAATGCATACATATTATGATAATATTTTCCTCTAAATTTTCGCCTACAAAAACACTTTAACATTATAAGAGTGGGCCCCAACCCTTGTCAACAACGCTACTGTGATGAGAGGAACAATAAAATCTAAGTCTATTTATTAAGTGAATAATTATGAAGTAGTCCATAATTTACATAAAGTAATACAAGAAAAGAGCATTAACATTAAAAACGTTCTATTGCTACAATGGGAAAACAACCTTAACAGAAACTCCAAATCAAGAGTCTTTTCCATCTGTAGTTAAACATGTTTTACATGGAAAACAAAAAGCATAAAAACAAAATTGTTAATTATTTTACGTTTTATGTTCAAGGAATTTTCGTTCTACGTATAGTCCTATTGAAAAACAATAACAAATCTAATGTTCTCCATATCTAAACCAAAAGCACGAATGCAAAAATGGCGCTGATTTGCAAAACAAGAGAAACGACGATGGACGGTGCGGCGTTCGGGCCACTCAAAGCATTAAAATGGTCACCATAATCTCCTACATACTTCTTGACAGTGTCCGTGTATGGCTCGAATTTGTCGAAGTTGCTACTGACTATTTTGCCAGTCTTCAGAAGGGTGACATTTGCCGCATTCAAGATACCTTGCATTGCCGTGACCATAGTATCAGCCGTGTCTACATTTGTAACCAAAGCGTACGCAGGTCTCTTATCAATGAAACAGCTGAGGTATTCATTAAGACCTAGGGAAAAGAAAATTGTAAATTTCAAGCACTACGCAAACAGGGAAGCACTGCCGCAGAATTGATTTCCGAAGTTTCCTGAATTTTTCCCCGTCTGCCATCTTTGAAAATATTGTGAAGGAAACAAATTTCATAAATCTTTCTATCCAGGGAGTCACAGGAGTACGGGAGGGGGCTTGCGGGAGGGGGGGGGGGGTGCTCGAGCATATTCTATTCAAAAATCGGGCAATTCTACTTAAAAATACGGCAAATGATGGAAGGGAAGCACGATGCCTATTAAAATAATCGAAAAAGCAAGAAATATGTAACGTTGGGATGGGTCATAAGTGATATGTGATAAGTGATATAATTTTTGGTAAGTTTACGACAGAAATTGTTTTTGTATTGGTCGGGCACATTCGATTAAGTTCGAGCGCATTTTTGTCGGCCTCCCTAATTTTTGTCCTCCCGCACCCCTATGCAGGAAGCTAAAGTATTTTAAAACAAATTCACACGACAAAAACCTATTTTATTTTCCGCGCATGAAGCGATCCTAACTGACTATCGGGCAAGTGTAATTATTGTTGCGGAAACAATATTTCCTGCTGTAGCTTGACCATCTTCAGGAACGCGAACACGCTAGGGAAGAATTTTTCTTTGTTTGCTATCACCGCGAAACATGGTAAGAAAACAAATCAGTTTCCTAATGTCACCTGGTTTTCCGTCAAACTGGATCTGGAATCACGGCAAGGAAACAATGTTTCCTAGTATATAGTCTATATCCTTAACAACGTATCCTGGTTGCCTACTATCGGAAAACACGGCAGGATGCACGTTAAGATGTTTATTGGTTTGTCTTCTTTTGGGATAAAGGATAAACAAGATCCTGGGATCCGGGGTAGAGCTTTGCAACAGCAAAAATACGTTGGTGTTTTTGATGCACCAAAACACATAGAGGTGTATTTACATTACATATGTTTTTGTGTCTCCAGGTCAAAACTAATTCGAACCTACATATTTTGTTAAAGTAAATAACTTTTGTCTGCTTCCATCATGTTGTAGGGTTATAGGATAAACCAATTAACATATAGATTTCGTTCACTTTTGAAAGTTCGGTTTTGTTTAATTATTTAATTGGTGTACCACTTTAAATTAAGGCCGTTTTCCAATTCAAGTGTATACCGTACCGAAACGTATAAAAAAGTTCAAAATTTCAAATTTTGGTGAATTTTGATTGCCTAATACTTCCGGAATACGCCAAACAATATATTTGCGGCGAATGTTTAATTTTGATACCGGACTAAACCCGGACGTACGTGAATTTATGAAGCAATTTTCAATCTAAGCATGCTCATCAGTACGTTTCAGTACGATACGGTTGAAGTGGAAACAGTCTTTGTTGACTCACCTTTTGTTGTACCATCCGTACACAACAGTTTATAGTCGCTTGCACTGCCATATTTTACTGGATAAGCCGCAAATACCGCAGCGGCTGTGGTCTGCCTCACAAACGCAACTCGGTCATTATTTCCATCGGCCATACATTTGAATGCTCCTTGGTAATTTGAGTACGGTTCGGTGTCGGCAAACTCACATGATCCATTAAGCCTGCCGCACACGAGAGCTATCTGCTGAGCAAAAAGTTACTCGTGCCTGTTAGCTCAGCCGATAGCTCACCGTGTGCGGGTACATTTTACTGAGTTTTTTGCCTCATGCAACCTTTTCTCACGTATCAAACATGTTTGATCGGTGAGCTATCAGCTGAGCTAACAGGCACGAGTAACTTTTTGCTCAGCAGATAGCTCTCGTGTGCGACAGGCTTTACACAATGAGCAGAGATCAGTCTTCACTTCCTCACTTACATCTTTAAGGGCTTTACTGCCTGAGAAGATATAATAACTATTAAGGTCTCTCTGTCACATATAAGCCTTCCATCTAAAAATCTCCCTCTAATATATATATATATATATAAGCTTCCCCTGTCATACACCAGGGGTCGAAATTGATTTTCATTTTCTTCTGCTTTAGAACAAGCGAGTTTTCCTTGACTCGTGTGCACGGAATGTTTTTCAACATATATTTATCTCACGTCAAGACTGCCTTTTGTTTGACAAAACCAAGAAGTATTTCTTGTACACTTGTCAAGTTTTCCTTGACGGCCGTACACACGAACAAATTTTCCTTAAACAAAAGCTGGCAGGACTAGCTTTGGTGCAAGTCTCCTTGGCAAGGAAAAAATTGTCGACATTGAAACTCAGTGCCGTAGCAAGTTCGATAATTGGGGGGAGGGGGGTCATATTCATTTATTCGTGTTCACAGACCATAAAAACAATTGATTTTCAAAGAAATTAATAACGCAGAACACGAATATATGAATCCCCCCCCCCCCCCCCCCAATTATCGAGGTTGCTACGGCACTGCAACTGCCCTCTGAAAAATCTACACTGGCCTGCAATAAACTCCCTCACTTTTAATTAAGAAAAAAATTATCAAGCCTCCGCGTCGGCCCTTACGCTCTTCCCCCTTCCCGAAACACACGTTTACGAATTAGATTTACCAGTGAGCTCCATATATAACTGGAGTAAGATCGCGCGTCCTAAAAGTGAAGCCAAAAATGGCGGAAATGGACCATTTGCATTATGGACTAAATTTTGATCTAGACAAAAATTTCATCACAGCTTGAAAGAGCATCACAATGCGAAATGTTGTAAAATGCGGATAATATAGCCTTGTGAAGTTTGCCGTTTTTCAGTCATTTTGTATTACAAACGGGAAATTGATGCGCCAACACCCGATTGGGCTGTCAATTTCCCGTGCGCAATACAAAATGACTGAAAAACGGCAAACTTCGCAAAGCTATACTATCCGCATTTTACAACATTTCGCAACGAAACTTTGGAATATTACTAATTTTGTGATGCTCTTTCAAGCTGTGATGAAATTTTTGTCTAGATCAAAATTTAGTCTATAATGCAAATGGTCCATTGATGTTTAGTGCTAATCTATTGTTATTGCTTTTGCCGGCGCGGTTAACACAAGGGTACAAGGAGTGCGCCAAAGATTTAAAAAATGTTAATAACGTAACCGGACAGATGCTCGAATTACCATTGAGCTGCAAGGTCTCAAATGGTGAGCCAAGGAGTTACGTTATTTACTAATTCTGTGCGTTACATGTGTACTGCTAACTGCAAGTTTCGACATGTCTTGTTGTTTCAATTCCTGTTAGAGCTCAGAATTATTTATACCACAATCATCGCAGGCTCATAACAAACATTTTTGCTTGTATATACTTCGTCGAAAAGAGCGTTTTATTTGCTCGGCAACAACGAGAAAATAACGATTTTTTAAACCAGTTTGGATGATCGATCGGCAAGTAAAGGTACGTAATTACTTAGCTATTTTAGCTAACCGATTGGTATTTCTAGAACGTCGCATGTATCGAATAAAACCTATTTGTTTAAATTAATGGGGTTTATAACATGGTCTTTCAAGTCACACGTGGTATTTTTGTCAATTTTTATCTATACTTTTGGCGTGTTTATTTGACTGACTTGAACTCATACCATTGAGGCAAAATGAAACAGCTGAGTCTAAACCAAGTAATATATATATTTGTTCAGTGTGATGCTGTTCATTTCACCTTTTACTGTGCCTTCCTTTATTGTCATTTGTCAATATATGATATAAATACTATCTTGGATTATTACCAGTACTATCTGTGTTATATTGAAGTCCTCAATTACTGATTTAATACCACTTTCTCCTGTTTGGGAAATTTATAATCGTTTATATTTCTGATTGAATCAATATGTACTTTCATTCTATAATTTATCATAAGTTCATATGTCATATATTTTATGCTATAAACAGCTTAGTCCATGTCACAAAGCAAACTAACTTTTATTTTATTTAGGGTGGTCAGGAACTATGTACGCAAACTGGAATGAAGATTAAATTCGTCTTGCCATCTCTGCAGTTGAGAAGAAAGAACTGGCAAGACGGAAGCTGCCTACGCGGTACCAAAGGATGTGTTAATTAAATTACCCAGTCAATGGTAGGCTAAAAAGTTTATCTCTTTGCGGTGAACTTTGGTCAATGCCAATGCCTGGCGAGGATTGCATGACTTGTTCACAATGCAAAGAATGGTGTCACGAAGAATGCTGTACTGTTACCGCCGAGCCAGTGTGACCTGTGTGTGTGTGACATATTGAACTTCAAAATGATTTTAAACATGTGTTTTATAATTAGTTCTGAAGTTCTATTAAAATAAGTTAATTATATTGACTTTATTTTTAATTTTTTAGCCCTGTCTCAATTTGCCCCACTGTGCCGGGGCAAAAAGAGAATTACCACGGTTAGGTTTTCCCCGATTTATCGCAAATAAATTATTCCAAACATTTTTTTTGCTTTACATATCTTGCTGTGAGTCAACCTCACATACCCAAGTCAAAAAGAAAATTCAAATTGCTGTGCCTTCCATTCTACAACAAATATCCTTAGGTGTCTCATTTTGCCCCGCATAACCTAAGTTGGATACGCGTCTACAACAAATCAAATATTTCGCAAGTTACAACAGCAACATATACGAAATGCAGTTCTTAACATAAAAAACCATCAACAAGACATGTCGAGATTGCTAATATGAATAAACATTCAAAATTTCCCAAATTTCCCAAACCTTTGTAATATATATGAAGTAAAGAGAGTACTTAAAAATATCAAGTCCATGCAGTCTATCCAACCTACCTGGAGCACAGCTTTTGTTAAAGAAGTCAGCAGTAGACTTGTATTGATTGTCGGTGAATGCCATTTCCTTCGTGAAAAGAAGATAGCCTACAGGAATTTTCCATCCGACAGTTTTTCCCACTCCGGTATGGCACGAGTTTTTGCCTTTCAATTGTTTGAAATTGAAAGTTGTTGCTTGCTTGACGACAGCCAAGCCGTAATATTGCACGAATTTCTCGAGGTCTACGAGCTTCTGGCCATAGACGATCTTCAGTTTATCCCCTAAACAAAAGAGTTTGAAAAACTCTTACGATGAACACAGGGACGTACCTTAGACTTAGCTAATCATCGCGAGATGAGGCTCTCGTGGGCACAAGACATTATTTTAGAGAGCATGGAGCATGGCTAGAAATTTCATACACTCAGTGGCATGGGATTGCAGGCTCATTTGCAGGAATTTTCAAGATGGCTGAGTTCACTTTTATATAATGAACTAAATAATTTAAAGACTGCCGGTTGTTACAGAAAATCAACCAAGAAGGCCGGAAAATATTATGAAGTGGAAACGGAGTGATTGCTTCAGTCAAAAAAAGTCAACTGTAATATATATTATAACTTCGCTTGTTTTTTTTTCAAATATTTAAAATCGCGATATATGTACATATTTAAAAATATGTCAATTACTCCGATATTTTATGCAAATATTTAAAACATACAGATAGATTTTCAATGAAATATCAAGGCGATTGTTCAATATGTCCACAAACTAATTTGTGATTTCCAACAACACATTTCGCAACAACACAGTGTGAATAATCTAATTTGAATTTTTCCCGCAACTTTGAGCGAACATTTTGTAGCTACAGCCTCTTAGGTTAGCAGTAAAGGCCATTTTAACATAGCAACAGCATTCGAGCAACAACAATGGCGGATAAAGATCATGAATCGAATACGAAAATGACAACTATATTTTGATATTTTTCCTATCACGGCCTCTAAAATAGCACTGACTTATGATGCTCAAAAACAACGTATTTCAAGACATTAGGGAACCCACTGAACGGGACTAAAATGGCTTAAAATCAGTCAAGTGCATTTTAAATATAGGTCTTGTTAACATAAATTACTACATCATATAAAGTTCTGGACTTCTTATGCTTGCTTTGTCCTCTTGTATATAATAATCACTTGTATTTTCCCTCAATATAATTAAAATATTTTCAAAACTCACGAGCTGTGTATCTAAAAAAATTCGCCCGGTTGTTTGCAAAAAGTAAACAAAAGATCCACTGGCGAAGGTTGAAGTAAATCATTCAAACGCTCGTGTATGCTTTTAAAGGCACAGCTCAGCCTTTCGAATCATGATTTTTAAGGCACATTTCAACCCTTTTAATTGAAAAAAACTAACTAGGAAAATCAATTAAACTCTTTGCCGACCGTACGGTTTTGCATTACATTACGACTTAATTTTTCTATTGTAAATATCTCGGCGAGTATTTACCCCCTTTTTAAATAGAAGCCACCATTGAAATCCTCACAAAATAACCTTTCGAACGGGGGGTCAAGTGCCGTCAAAACATTACACAAACCGAAACAATCATATATTTACTCACCGCACGGCCAAAGATTCTAAATTTCATATCCAGAAAATCTTGAATATCTCTTGAACTTTTCCGTCGTTG